ACAGAGCTCGGGGTCGCACGCCGTGCGCCGCTCGGGGTTCATTCTGATTCGCGCGCCCTACCTTACTTCCACGCTGTCGCAGGGCCAGACGCTCCGCAAGGGCGTCGCTGTCGACTGCGCCAGGGGCGAGGACGCTGGCCGCACGGGCATGTCGGACGACCAGTGGTGGCTGCGCCTCTCCGTCATGCTTTCCCGCGCCGTGTGCATGCGGAACAGGCTGATCCTGCGGCCGCCCTCGCGCGAGTTTCTGGAGCGCGGGCCGCCGGCTTCCTTGCGGAAGGCGCTCCTGGAGTTCGACAAGAGAGCGGAGGCGTCCAGGGATGAGGCCGAGCAGTTCGCCGCAGAGCTTGGGTTCATGCTGCCTCCCGCCTGAGCGCGGCTGCGCCCCGCTCGAAGCCCGCGGGGTTGTCCCAACAGCTTGGCCCGCGGGGCTGTCCCGACCGCCTGCCCCCGCGCCCCAGCGGCCCGCGGGGTTGTCCCAAAGGCTTCGCGAACCAGCCGTCGGGGAATGCGCGCGCTCTGGCCGCGGCGGCGACGGCGCCGAGGAGAATCGATATGCTTGTCCCGACCAGGGGAAAGTGGAGGAACGGGCGGAGAAGAAACAGGGGAAGGACGAGGACGGGGCAGGGGTAGGGAGGGGGTGATGATGAGGAGGAAGTGGAGAAGGAGGAGGAGGAGGAGGAGGAGGAGGAGGAGGAGGAGGATGAGGAGGAGGAGGAGGGTAAGTACAAGGAGGGGAGGGGGGTAGGTGAGGGCAGAGCGGCGGGCGAGAGGAGAGTGTCCGTCAGGGCGAGGAGGAAAAGGGTAAAGGCAAACTAAACAGATTCTCATGTGGGGCCCTTCCGTCGGAGTAATTACAGGTTGCCGATGACCCGCTCGGATTGCCGACATGAAGTGCGGGACCCATAGGGAGGGGGCCCCCGCCGGAGACTTCCTCACAATTCACTCACCGACGAGGCCCCCGCTCGATACTTCCTCCAAATACTAGACGCTTCGCGTATCCCCACCAGCCAGCGCTGCTTTAGTTGAATTCGTCGCTGCGTGCCCCGCTTAGACTGGACTCGCCGGCGGCGCGCTCGCCCGCGGCCGCTGAAAAAATATCCCCACAAACCCATCCAGAAACGATGTCCAGGAGAGTTGACGTGATCAGGGAAGTGCGGCAGCAAAGAGGAGGACGGCCGAACCGTGCAAAGGAATGGGGAGGAGAAGGAGGAGGTGGATAGATGGATGGATGAGGGAGTGGGAAGAAGGAGGGTGAACAGGATGAGGAGGAGGCGGAGGAGGAGGAGGAGGAGGAGGAGGAGGAGGAGGAGGAGGAGGGGGAGGACGAGGACGAGGAGGAGGAGGAAGAAGAGGAGTAGGAACAGGAAGGGGGAACAGGAATAGGAGGAGGGCAAACGCAAGGGCCAGAGGTCTCTTGGATGCTTCTCGGAGCCTCTTGGAGTATCTCTTGGGCGATTCTTGGTGGTCTCTTGGGGCGTTTTGGGGGTCTCTTGGCGATCCTGGGAGGCTCTTCGGGGCCTTAGGTGCCTCGGGGGGGCCTCTTGGGGCCGCTTAGGGTCTTCTTGGGGGCCTCCTGGGGGCCTCTTGGGGGCCTCGTGGGGCCATTTTGGGGCCATCTTGGGACCTCTTGGGGCCCCTCTGGGCGCTTCTTGGGGCCATATTGGGGGAGATCGGTCAACGAAGGGGGGTCCCTCAATTACGGTCCCCCCCCAGGAGGCCAAAATGGGGCCAAAACCATAGTAACATCAATGATTTTGGCTTCCTCGCCGAGGCCGTTTTGGACGCTCTAACTCCTTGCGGCGCCCCCCGTCCAGGTCCAGGGGAGGGGGTAGGGGGATGGGTAAACCCCTCCCCGACGGGGAAGAGGGAGGGGTGGAAGAGGAAACGCCTTAAACGACCGACGCCCAGAGGGCTGGTGGGATTCAAGCCTGGGGAGCCCAAAAATGACGACAGTTACAGGTTGCCGATGACCCTCTCGGATTACCAAAATGAAGCGCGGGACCCATAGGGAGGGGGCTCCCGCTTGAGATTTCCTCACAGTTCACTCACAGACGAGGCTCCCGCTTGATACGTCCTCCAAATTCAGGCCTGCGGAACCCAAAAGTGGCGACAGTTACAGGTTGCCGATGACCCGTTTTGATTACCAAAATGAAGTGCGGGACCCATAGGGAGGGGGCTCCCGCCTGAGACATCTTCACAATTCGCTCACATACGATTCTCCCGTTTGATACTTCTTCCAAATTCAGGCCTGCGGAACCCAAAAGTAGCGACAGTTACAGGTTGCCGATGACCCGCACGGATTACCAACATGAAGTGCGGGACCCATATGGAGGGGGCCCCCGCCTGAGACTTCCTGACAATTCACTCACAGACGAGGCTCCCGCGTGATACTTCCTCCAAATTCAGTCCCGAGGAGGCCAAACGTGACGACAGTTGCAGGTTGCCGATGACCCGCTCGGATTACCAACATGAAGTGCGGGACCCATAGGGAAGGGACTCCCGCCTGAGACTTCCTCGGGTGACATAAGCGAGTGACGGTGATGAGTGAGTGAGTGAATGAGTGAGTGAGTGGGTGGGTGGGTGGGTGGGTGGGTGGGTGAGTGATGATGGGGATGATGATGATGAGTGGTGATGAGTGCGATGATGATGATGGTGGTGGTGATGGTGATGTTGCTGCTGATGATGATTATGATGAGGAGAGGGAGAGTGAGAGAGAGAGAGGGGGTGAGGTGGATATCCTGCGCGGAGGGTGTCCTGAGAAAGCAAAAACTGCACTCAGGATGTGGGGAACTGCTACTCTTACTTCTGCTACTATGACTACCACAATTGCTACTACTATGTTCTGAACTGCTATTACGACTACTACTACTGCTACTATTCTTCCACGACGACGATTGCTATTACGAGTGCTGACGTTACTACCCCTACTACTACTACTACTACTACTCCTACTACTCATACTACTACCTTTATTGCTACTACTACTACTACGACTACTACGACAACTATTACAATCGCTACGACTACTTCTTCTTTTACTACTACTACTACTACTACCACTCCAGCTTCTACTACTACTACTACTACTACTACTACTACTACTACTACTATTACTCTTACTATTACTATTTTTATTACCATTATTTCAACTACTACTACTACTACTACTACTACTACTTTTTACTACTACTACTACTACTACTACTACTACTACCACTACTAATACTACTACTACTATTTCTTGTCTTAGTACTTGCAGCGCTACAAGTCTTAACGCTACGACGACGACGATTACTACTACTACTACTACTACTACTACTACTATTACTACTGCTACTACTACTACTACTACTACTACTATATATTTTTTAGTACTACTACTACTACTACCATTACTACTACGACTACTACGACTACTACTACAAACGCTACGACTACTTCTTCTTCTTCTTTTTCTATTACTACGACTACTATTACCACTCCAGCTTCTTCTACTACTACTACTACTACTACTACTACTACTACTACTACTACTGTTGTTACTACTACTACTACTACTTCCACTACTACTACTACTACTACTACTACTACTACTACTACTATTTCTCGTCTTAGTACTTGCAGTGCTACAAGTCCTAACGCTACGACGACGACGACGATTACTACTACTACTACTACTACTACTACTACTACTACTTCCACTACTACTACTACTACTACTACTACTACTACTACTACTGCTGCTACTACTACTACTACTACTACTACTTCTACTACTACTACTACTACTATTACTATTACTACTACTAGTATTACTACTACTACTACTACTACTACTACTACTACTACTACTACTATACTACTACTACTACTGCTACCACTACTACTACTACTACTACTACTACTACTACTACTACTGCTCCTACCTACTATCCCTACTGTTGTGTACTCCTGCTGCTATGTTTACTGCCACCACCACCGCTAGTATTATTAGTGTTATTACTATCACTACTACTACTACTACTACTACTACTACTACTACTACTACTACTACTACTACTACTACTACTACTACTACTACTACTACGACTACGACTACGACTACGACTACGACTACTACTACTACTACTACTACTACTACTACTACGACTGCTACCGCTACTACTATCACGGCTATTGTGATTTTTACCACCACTACCAAATTTCTACTACCGCTATTACTATCACCACTAATATTACTACCACGCTATTATCACTACCAGTATCACTACTATCATCGCTATTGCTATCACGGCTACTACTATCACGACTACGACAACTACCGCTACTGCAGTGCGTTGGGCCCCGGAACATCACAAATACGGATCCGGGACAGAAAGTTCCTCACCAGGGGAACGGATTTCTAGGGTCGCGGATTGAAAAGTCAGACCGGCGGATGTTAGGGAGGCCGCGGGCTCGCGGGCAGCGGGCGGGCAGCGGGCGGCAGCGGCGGCAGCGGCAGCGGCGGCGGCAGCGGCGACGGTGCTTCGAGTGCCTGGAGGAGCCGCGCTGTCTCTATGCGGCCGAGCTCCTCCTTCCCTGGTGCCCCTCCAGTTGTTCCGCCCTCGCCTGTTGATGGTCGAGCCTGGACAGCTGCAGCAGGAGGCCGCGGCAGCAGTGGCGGCAAAAGTCGTGGCGGTGTCTGTGGCGGTGGCAGTCCAGAGGCGAACAGAGGGGGCAGGGGGAGGGAGAGGGAAGGGGGGGAAGGAGGAACGGGATCGGATCGGATCGGATGTCCGCGAAAGAGTTTCGAAGAAGCTGCTGCCGGTGCCGTGTCGCCGCCCAATCGAGAAGGAACGGGAAGAGGATGATGATGATGATGATGATGATGATGATGAGGAGGAGGAGGAGGAGGAGGAGGAGGAGGAGGAGGAGGAAGAGGAGGAGGAGGAGGAGGAGGAGGGAGGAGGAGGAGGAGGAGGAGGAGGAGGAGGAGGAGGAGACGACGACGACGACGACGACGACGGCGATGACGACGACGAGGGCAAGTTTCAAGCTTCTCTTTTGCCCATGTGTCCACCTTGCTCAGGATTTTTCGCCTTCTCCTCCCGGGCCCAGATAGATTATCTACAGTATTTCACAGTTCCCTGAACAGCTTGGTCGTCAGGGTCCTATATACGGTTGCTCTCCCGGATCCCACATCCGTGGCCAGTCCGTTGTCCCCGTTGTCCCCGGAGGCGGCCTCGCGAATCTGGGGAGGGGATATCCGCATTACGTGACCTGGCGCGTACCTCCTTCTTGGGCTCCCTGTCCCAGGGGCGTCCTGGAGAGGGTTGTAGGGTGCAACTCCTGGGAGGTTACACTCAGCATCGGCGCTGGTATATCCCTGTGTCTAGTTCTGCACATTTGCCGTATGCCTCCGTACGATCCAGCTTGATCCGGCTCAGGCCAGCTTAATCTAGGGGTTAAGCCGAGCCGATCCAGCTTGAGTGTCTTGATGCTGCTTACGTTTTAGTTATTCCACGGGTTGTGTCCTGAGGGGGGAGAAGGCTGGAAGGCTTGGGGCGTGTGGGTATCATGGCTTGGGCAACGACATCTACCCGATTTCATGGCCCCTCTTCTTCCCTCGAGGCGCTCCCTCCCCCCACCCCTCGCTCGCCGCGCCCATGCCTCGGGACATGGTACGCTCACTCAGCATCACCTAACATATCCCCATCCCCGCTGGGCCATGGTTCCAGCCCCACCAGCCCACCCTCCTCGGTGGGGATAGGCACCGCGAGACCCGAGGGAACAAGCATATCGTTCCCACCGAGGTGGGTAATTCGGCCAGTGCGGCCAAGGCCACGCCAGTGGGTATAGAGATCGGTGTACGCCACATTTCGTAATAAAAGGGAGGGGGTCACAACCCCCCCAGACGAGCAATTCTTGACAACCACCCATACCAGCCATGAAAGGGCGGCCTTTTGCCCAGACCCCCCTGGAACCCTCCGAGACAGTTCAAACCAGCCCCTCCCCCCTCCCCCAATCAGAGCAGCCCCATTTTGTGGTGAAATCTGGAGCGACGATGCTCACCGACCCACCCTGGCCAACCGTCCGCCCGCCCCCCCTTTTGAAGGGGCCCTGAGACAGAAATACATACACACAAATAAAAGAATTCCCTTATATTTTCTTATATTTTCTAGGTTTTTGTCTTCCTTTCCACTTCCCATTTTTTCCAATATTTTCCGGGGAATCGACGATTAATTGCGTCTGTGCGTTTTTTCCCCTCCTGACCTTGGCTTGGGGGACACGGGTCCCGAGGGAAACGGGTCCTGGACCCTGGAGCCTTCCAGCAGGACGAGATCTTCATCCCGAGTCGTCTTCTGACGGTCCCGGGGCCCGTGGATGGCCCCGAGGGCCCGAAGACAGCGAACAGCCTCAGAACCGGTCTCCCTCGGGACCCGTTTCCGCAAGGGCGCCCTCGAGGGCGCGAAGTTGCTTGCGCTTTTCGCGCTTCGCGGTTCGGCTCCGATGCCTCATCCTCCTCTTCTCCTTCGGGGGGCGGCGCGGGAGTGCGAAGCTATTCGCGCTTCGCGCTTCGCGCGGCGCGACGCGCGAAGTTAGGCGCCCTTCTTTCCCCCGTGGCGGTCCCCCGCCGCCGCCCGCCCAGGCGGTCGACCAGGGCGAGTTCGTGTGCCGCGGCGGCGACTACGACACCAAGCTGATCCTCGTGCTCTCGGGCCGCCACCCCCCGCCGCCCCTCCTGGCCGCTCCGGCCGCCCTCGCCGCGGCCATCTTGGAGCTGCCGTCCTCGGGTGTCCTGGGCCATCCTGGGAGCCACGGGGGCCATCTTGGACGCTCTGACGCCTCACGGCGGGAGGGTCCAGACCCAAAGGGAAGGGATATGGGGGAAGGGCAACCCCCTCCCTGGGCAGGGGAGGGTACTCTGCTGCAAGGGGGAAGGGATATCATGCCAGGGGGCCGGGGATCGGTGCGTCAGGAGTTTGGGCTGCTGCTCTGATCGAATAGAAGAGAGAGTGAGTGACCTTTCGACAGAGTTACCTTTGGTGCGGGCCCCATAGGGCCCCCCGATCGCTGAACGCGAAGCGGTAGCAGCGGCTTGCGCGCCCTGGTTTGTCCACGACGCGTCCCCCGTTCAGCCGCGCACCAAAGGTCACTGTCGCCTATAGGGTCACTCTTGCGCGTAGCCGCTCGGAGTCTGGCATCCGCCCGCCAGGATTGGACCCGTCCCCCCCCCCCCCGTGCGGACCGCCCGTCGGAGCCCAAGGACCTCGCGCCGCAAGCCGCCCCGCGCTGGCGAGGGCCCCCGAAGGTCGAAGGAGCTAAGATCCCCCGCTCCTCACGACGCGAGGGGCCCTGGAGGGCGCCGACGCCGGGACTCGCTGGAGCTGGACAACCCTGCCCTGTTTGGCGGCGCGCAGAGGGGGGCAGGGGGAGGGGGGAAAGCTTCTTAGAAGGAGGCTGCTTCTTAGAAGCCGCGGGCCTTACATTTACAGACAAGGCCCGCGCCTTCTAAGAAGCAGGGGTGCTTCTAAGAAGCCTTCCTCCCTCGCCCTGTCCCCCTCTGCGCGCCGCCAACCTGTTCTTCGCGGAGGTGGTCGGTGGGCGTGGAGGGCGAAGCGCGAGCCCCCCCGTCTCGCCACGAGGAGCAGGGCAGGGCTCGCGTTCCGGAGACCTCGCGGGCCGTGTTCGCCTCGACTCTCCCCATGGCAGCAGCGGCAGCACGAGGGCAGCACGAGGGAGAGCGAAAGCGGAGCGAACGCGGAGAGCACTGTTCAGCTCGAGCCCTGAGCAGGAGGGAGCAGCAGGAGCAAGGGGAGGAGCCGGGCGCCCGAGAGCGTCCGCAGCGGCGCCCGGAGAGGCACCCTGGAGAAGCTGGTGGGCGACTCGCCTTACGGCGGCAGGTGCGTTGTGCGCCACCTGAGACGCGGGGACTGCGAGGCCCGCGCCCCCCCCCCGCCGCCGCCCCTGAGGGGCCACGATGCAGTCGACGTCGGTAGCAGGGATGATCGATTTCCCAAGGGTACCATTGCATCCCTGCCTCTTCGGTCACCTTCGGTCCATCCTCGGCCACTTTTGACGGCCAGCCCCGCTCGAAGAGCCTCGGCATGGGCGTCCAAGGCCCTTGCATCCTTACCGCGTGTCCTTACTAGAGGAACGCATCGACTCCCGATCGCCCACTGAGCGCCGATAGGGGCCCGATAGCCCACCCAGCCCAGGAATGTGCGGCTTCGCCATCGGGGGCCTATCGCCGATCTGTCGGCGATGTGTCGCCGATTCAAGCTCGATGTGTCCCCCCCTCTGAGATGGCCCTCCCTAGCTTTGCCCTCCAGGCACTCTCTCGAAGTGCTTGCTCTTCTCACACAGCGCAGCGGACATCTTGATCAACTCTGACATGGGCGGCGAGTGGGTGATCAGCGTTGCCTTGCAGTCCGCGCAAGGGGCTTTAAGATGTCAATATGATGTTCATCTAGCTGTTTGGGCGAACCCTCATGAACCCTCCGAAGCCTGGAAACCTCTGGAGCCCTGGGGATGTCAAAACGTCACAGCGTTCAGTGCTTTCGGACAGCGCTAAGGGGGGTTGCCACTAGGAGGTCCCTTGCTCCTCTTGGAAATCGAGGTTCCAGGATCGAATCTCGAGGAGGTTGTTGGACGATTTGGGTAATGTCGGAAGGTTCCAGACTGTTGTTTGAGACGCGCTTCCTCCAGGTAGTGGCGACTCTTTCAGTGGTGACCCTCCATGGCAGCGACGGTTGTGGAAGCTATCGAAGACGCCTACGGCGAATCACCGCCGCTCTCTGCCTTTTTGGAAGCGCCTGTGTGGCCGAAAGTTGGGCTAGAGCCTGGCCAATCTGTCGGACCATGTGCTCCCCCAGCCGTCGTTGAAACCCTTCGTGGAACACGTGAGGATCAAACAGGACGACGAGGAGAAGAAGGAAAAGGGATGCGGAGGAGGATGAGGGGGACCAGTGTAAACCCAAGAGTCATCAATGATGTTGGAATAAACCCTCCCTCCAAGCTCCCTATTCATATGCCCCTACAAGGGTTCATTTCCACGGAGGGAACTGCCTCGTTGGAAGGCAACCGTTTGAAGACCCTGAAGCGTGCCAAAACATTGTTCTCCGGATTACAACGCATCGGATCAACTTGACTGTTGCGTCTTGACGATTTTGAATCGTGCCAGAACGCCATTCCTGGGACTTCAATACCGCGAACCAATGTAAGTCCTGCATCCTCGTACTCCTGATTTTTTATCAAACGCCATTTCTTGTACGCTGGTCATGGGAATCCGTGAAATTCTTGCAGATGTTAAAAAACGAATGTGCGCAACGCTAAGGCGAGAGCCACATTTTGAAAACAACCCGCCCTCAATCAGTGAAGCTCTTGCAGTTTGTCAGGGCGAATGTGCGCGGCGCTCTGGCGAGAGCCACATTTGAACACCACCCGCCCTCAATTCGTGAAGCTCTTACAAATGTTTAAAACGAATGTGCGCGGCGCTGAGGCGAGAGCAACATTTTGAAATCGACCCGCTCTCAATCCGTGAAGCTCTTGCATTGTGTTAAGACGAATGTGCGCGGCGCTGAGGCGAGAGCCACATTTTGAAAACCATCCGCCCTCAATCCGTGCAGTTCTTACAATTTTTAAGCTTCTGGGCCATAACTGGTGAGGAAATCTCAGGCGAAACGCCCGGCCCGCCCTGAAAACTGGCCGCGGTGTGCGACAGGGACAAGTTATTTATCGGGAGAAGGCACGGAGGAGGAGGAGGAGGAGGAGGAGGAGGAGGAGGCGGAGGAGGAGGAGGAGGAGGAGGAGGAGGAGGAGGAGGAGGGGGAGGGGGAGGAGGGAGGAGGGAGGAGGGGAGGAGAGGGAGGAGGGGAGGGAGAGGAGGGGAGGAGGGGGGGAGGAGGGAGGAGGGAGAGAGGGAGGAGGGAGGAGGGAGGAGAGGAGGGAGGAGGGAGGAAGGAGGGAGGAGGGAGGAGGGAGGAGGAGAAGGAGGAGGAGAAGGAGGAGGAGGAGGAGGAGGAGGAGGAGGAGGAGGAGGAGGAGGAGGAGGAGGAGGAGTATAGACCTCTTGGGGGCCTCTGAGGGCACTCTTGGGATCTCCTGGGAGCTTCCTGGGAGCCACTTGGAGGCCTCTCGGGGGTCTCCTTCGGCCTCTTGGGGGCCTGTGGGAGTTTGTTCGGGGCCTCTTTGGCCGTCTTAGGGCGTTCCTGGGCCGTCTGACGCCGTGGGGAGCTCCCCATCCCGAGAATATAGATCTCTCCCTTTCCTCCCCCCCGCCCTCCAGTGTCCACTTGTATCCGTCGTTCTTGGCTAGCCCGATCTAGTTCGATTCCGGTACCCCGACGATTCCATGCGGTCCGATGCTTGCATGGCGCCGTTGTGCATCCTGGCGCGGCCGCAGCCGATTCGATTCCGACCCCGTGCCGCTGCAGCCCGATCCGACGGAGGTTTCGATCTGATCCGATTTCTCGGTCCGAAATTGGCTGATCCTGCCCATTCCGCCTCCAGGGCCTGACCGAGTTCCTGGGCGCCGGCGCCGGGCCCAGCAGCGCGTCTCCCGCGGCACGGGCCCGCTCTGGTCCACCGCCGCCGGTGGGGGCGGTGGCTCTTGCGGACGGGTGCGTGAGCACCGAGACTGCGCAGCGACCACACCGCGGGGTGAGGCAGACCCTGAGATCTGGGCGTTGCAATTTTTCTCAGCCCTCCGTTGCGCTTGTTCTTGCTTTGAGCAGAGCGTCGGGTCGCGTCCTCCTTCCTCCCGCCTCCCTCCTCCCTTGTTCTCATCCCTCCTGCCTCCTACATTCCTCCTACCTGCCTCCAACCTGTCTCCCACCTCGCCATGCCTAGGGGGCTGCGAACTGCGAACATTTTGTTATTTTCAAGGGCATATGGAGTGCCCAGCGCAGCGACGCCCTAAGCAGATTCAGATTTGACCTCGCCATCGCTGGGGTGCTGTGACCACTTTGGAGGGCTAGTGGGGGAGCCCAGCACAGTGACGCCCCAACTTAATCCAGACTAGACCTCGCCATCCCTGGGGGAGCTGCGAACTGCAAAACTGTCGCAACTTTCGAGAGCTGCTGCGGGGCCAAGCACAGTGACTGCCTAAGCATATTCAGACTAGGCCTCGCCATCCCTGGGGGGGGCTGTGAACTGCAAAACTGCCACGACTTTCGAGAGCTGCTGCGGGGCCCAGCACAGTGACTCCCTAACCAGATTCAGATTAGACCTCGCCATCCCTGGGGTGCTGCGACATGCGAAAGTGTCGTCACGTTCGAGGGCTTCTGTAGGGCCCAGCACAGCGACGCCCTGACCAGATTCAGACCAGACCTCGCCAGCCCTGGGGGGCTGCGAACTGCGAAACTGTCGCCACTTTTCGCGGCTGCTGCGGGGCGCAGCCAAGCGACGGCCTTACCATATTCAGATTAGAGCTCGCCATCCCTGGAGGTGATGCGAACCGCGAAACTGTCTCCACTGGAGGGCTGCTGGGTGGCCCAGCGCAGTGACGCCGTACTGGGATTCAGATTAGACTTCGCCATCCCTGGGGGCCTGCGACTTGCGAAGCTGTCGCCTTCTTTTGTTGACGGCTGCTCGGGGACCCAGCGCAGTGACGGCCTAACCAGATTCAGATTAGGCCTCGCAATCTGGGGGCTCCGAACTGCGGAACTGTCGCAATTTTCGAGGGCTGCTGGGGTGCCCAGCGCAGTGACGCTCTAACCATATTCATATTCGAAGTCGCAATCCCTGTGGTGCTGCGAACTGCGAAACTGTTTCCATTTGCAAGGGTTGCTGTGGGACCGATCACAGTGACGCCCTGACCAGATTCAGATTTGACCTCGCCATTCCTGGGGGGATGCGAACTGTGAAACAGTCACCTCTTTCGAGGGCTGTTGGGGGCCCCAGCCCAGCGACGGCCTTACCAGATTCAGACTAGAGCTCGCCATCCCTGGAGGTGATGCGAACCGCGAAACTGTCTCCACTGGAGGGCTGCTGGGTGGCCCAGCGCAGTAACGCCGTGCTGGGATTCAGAGTAGACCTCGCCATCCCTGGGGGCCTGCGAACTGCGAAACAACGCGGGCCTACGGGGACCCAGATGAGACCTCGCTGTCCCTGGGGGGCTTCGAGCTGCGAACGTGTCGCCGCGTTCGAGGGATGCTGGGGGGGGGCTCAGCGCAGGGCGGGCCCACGGAAACGCACATTAGACATCGCCATTCATGGGGCGGGCTGCAATCTGCGAATAGGTCGCAACTTTTGAGTGCTGCTGGCGGGGGGGCAGCACAGCGACATCCTACGGGGATTCATAGCAGACCTCGCCATCCCTGGGGGGGCAGTGGGGGGCTGGCAGGTCCCCCCCCCTTGAACGAAAAAGCAACCTCCGCTTGGAGGGGGGGCAGGTTTTTGTGTCCCCGCGGACCCCCCTACCCCCCTCCCCAATGTGTTCATTAGGGGGGTAGGGTTTGTTGTCTTCACGGACCTCCGTGCCGGTGCCGTGCCGTGCCCGAATAAAGATGTCGTGGCGGAGGGAGCGCGCTGGCTAGGGAAGGCGAGAAGGACCTGGGCTGGCTGCGGTGTCAAGGAGGGGGAGCTGGGCTGCGGGAGGGGGGAAGGAGGGTGCTCGGTGCTGGTGCTGGAGCCGTGCCGTGCCCGGGTGAAGTGGTCCGGGCGGAGGGGGCGCGCTGTCTGGGGGGCGAGGAGGAGCTGGGCTGGCTGCAGGAGGGCAGGGGGGGCGCGGTGCCCTGGCTGGGGGGCGAGGAGGAGCTGGGCTTGCTCGCCGGTGCCGCGCCGTGCCGCAATGAAGTCGGAGCTCAGGACACAGGTGCAAGATACGAATATGATGTCATAGCCTCTAGCTCGGCATCACACAGACATACTCTTACTGTGTGCGCACCGGCCCCAAAAGGGAAGAAGCGTGCGCTCCGTCACCATTGAGTCTGAGCGCTGTGGCGGGCGTTGTTTGGCCGTACCGCTTGGGCAACGATATGCTACAATGTCATTGTGTGACATGTTCGGGTCGGACGTGCGTCGCCAACACGAGCTCATCGTATCAGTAGGTTTTTCTGCCTCCCACCAGCCGTTCTTCCAAAGACCTCCCAGGAGTTACTTCCAAAGGGGGAGGGAGTAGAGGCGGCGGCCGAGGCAGCGAGCAGCGCACCTGCTGTCTGCGTGGCGGTCCGGTGCGACCGCGCACCGCCGCGCGCCTTCTTCTGGGCGGGGGCGGGGGGGGAGGGATCGAGGGAGTGAGGATCGAGCATCGAGGATCCGGGAGGTTTCTCGACGAGGATCGGGGATCGAGGAGAATCGAGGAGGATCCAGGATTGACGCTTTCAGATTCGGGAGGGGGGGGGGGAAACGTGGAGGGGCGGATACACAGGATAAACAGGTGTCCTCGGGTCCTACATGTGCCGTGTAGAGGGGACTTGTCGTCGAGGCCGTCTGGGGCACTCACCCCACAGGCCTGCCGTGGTCGGGCGCTGGCCCTCCCACCGGCATCCCCGCGCGCGCAGCCGAGAAGTCACCAACCAGGTGCCGACACGGCGAGGCGCACGCGCCACGGGCCAGGGGACTGCCACACGACGCCACCGCCCGCCACGCCCTCGGTGCATGCGGTGGGCGGTCTCGGACCCGAGGGGGCCCGCGCCCCGAGCCCGCCCCCCGTGCGGGCGGCACATCGAGCCAGGGGCCTGGGAGTCCCGTGCTGAGGGGGGGAGCCCCGGCACGGGGGGGCGCCTGGGCACACCCGCCGGGGGCCGTCCCCCCGACAGGGCGGGGTCAGCCACGCGCAGAGGGGGGTGGGGGGAGGGGGAGGGCTTCTTAGAAGCACCCCTGCTTCTTTCTTAGAAGGCGCGGGCCTTCTCTATAGATGTAAGGCCGGCGCCTTCTAAGAAGCAGCCTCCTTCGAAGAAGCCCTCCCCCCTCCCTCCACCCCCTTGTGCGCGCCGCCAAGAGAGGTCGACTGAAGCGGCGCCTTGGCGATGCCGTGGGCCGTTTTCGTTTCGGCGTCGTTTGGCAGCCGCGGCGCGGAGCGGAGGCAGAGCGAGAGAGCACGAGGCCAAGGCGAGAACGGAAGGCATGGTTGAGGTCGGGCTCTGCTACAGGGGGCCAGGCCGCCCAGGCCCCGCCACAACCTTGCGCCAGTCCTGCCGCCTGGCGACGGGGGGGGGAGGGGAGCGGAGGGGAGCAGGAGAGGGGGTGCTGGGGGGGGGCGGAGGCGGGGGGGGGTACAGTGCACAGCTTCTGGGTCCAAGATATGTCGCCGCGTCGTTTGTGCTGACGCGCGGAGCCCGCCGAGTGCACCGGGGCAAACGTTGCCTCGTGCGCGGTGGGTTTGCCGTGGGTCTGCCGCGGTGCCGGCGTCGTCCACTTGGGCGCGTCGAGAGATCAAACGGCGCGGCGACATGTGCTGATCGATCGGGCTCAGGGTTCAGGTTGATTTGGAAAGGTGCATCGTGCGATCACAGACTCGTATGCTGTGTCAAAGAGCACAGTAGTTCGCCAGCAGTTCGACATCAAGGGAAAAGCGGAAGGGAGGGGAGGATGAGAGGGATATTGCGAGATTGGCGACAGTTGCGCACCTGGCAACCCCAAGACGAGACACCAGGTCTTGACTGGATCTGCGGCTTCCCCCCTCCCACCGCTGAGCCTCCCACGAGCTAGTGGAAGTGGCGACACTTGCGCATGTGGCAGTCCCCCAGTGAGTCGCGAGGTCTCGATTGGATGCCCGGTAGGGCCCCGCTCCGTTGGGCGTCCCAGGAGCCCACGAAGTGGTGACAGTTGCGCAGTTGGCAACCCCCTGGGGAGCCGCGAGGCCTCGACTGGGTACCCCGTGTGACCGAGCTCCGCAGGGCCTCCCAGGAGCTCACGAACATGCTGACAGTTGTAGACTGCTTTTCAACTCCAGCGATAACCCGGGTTGTCGGGCCCGCCCGCCGCCCCCCCCCCCCGCGGATAATCTGATCTTGTCGGTTCCGTAGGCCTGCAGGGGGTACGCAGTACTGGTGCGCGCGGGCATACATGGGGCTGTTCAAAGCGAAAATATTATATTATCGGCTGGCATCAAAAAGAAGAGATCGCTTGCGTTGTTGGCAGTCCCCTCCTGGGAGCCGCGAGGTCTCGACTGGGCGCCCTATGGGACCCACCCCGCCCCGCCGGGCCTCTTTGGAGCCCACGACAGTGGCGACAGTTGCGCAGGCGGCAGCCCCACAAGTAGCAGCGAGGTGGGTGGGAAGCAAGAAGTAGGTATGCAGGCAGGAGGCAGGAAGCGAGGAGAAGGAGAGGGAGAAGGAGAGGGAGGAGAGGAAGGAGAGTGCTCTGTTCAAGACAACGCTCCACTTCAAGAGGGTAGGGAATTAATCCCAAATGTGCCAAGGGCAGTAGGAGGAGAGGTGAGTGGGCGGGAGGTTGCGCGAGCGTTGGTTTGTTGAGGACCCAACCAAATGGAGGGTTGGGGGGGGACAAACAACTGTACATATCTTATAAGCCCCCCTCTATGTGCCACCCCTCTTGAGGATCGAAGGGACCACGGAAATAATGGAACCGACTGCCCACAGCATCCCATGCCCATCCTGAACAGGATTCAGTGTCGGTGTCGCCGCGGACGCTGCGCTGTGCACTTGAGACGAAACCGCCCGCCCAACAGTGGCCGCTGTCGGTTCTGGACAGCGTTCGCGGTTGGGCATCATGCCAATGTTTTCTGCGCTGCAGGTTCGTGTCGTGTCGAGGCGGCAGTGACCCTGCCGCGGGCGTTCGAGGTTGAACGCCGCTAGAGGCCCAGAATCGGCCAGCCTGGAACGATCAGGCGATCAGGCGATCGGTTCATCCGCCGATCGTTCAACGGTGAGCGACCCAATGCGATGCCGGAAACCGACGCCGTGGTCGTCACGTCACGATCTTGCTGCATCCAGACTTTCGGCTATGTGTTTTTTCAGTGCGCGGCTCTGGAGGCCCCGACCCATTCCCCTGGGGTGGTTTTCCGTCCTGGCTGCATTTTTGATGGCCCTGCAGCCCAGCGACTGGCCCAAGAGGCCGAACTCGAGGAAAGATTTCCGGATTGAACAAATCGTACGGTCGGACCAAGGTCTAGCTAAGCTCGAGGTCGGTTCGGGGAGGGTGCCCTGATGTTCTTGGTGCTTGCCGGATGTTCTTGTGCATCCTGGGGGAGGGCACCTTCGAGTGACCACATGGTGTGGGGTGCCTTGGCCGGCGGGGGGTCTAATGTTCTCGAATCCGAGGCGGGAATTCATACATGACCACCGCCTGGAGGATCAATTTGCGGGGACCTCGACAGGCGGTGGATATGGATATATTCGGGCCCCCGGGGGCCAAAATGTATGCATGTCCACCGCCCGCTGGGGCACCAGGACGTCGGTTCCCAGGCGGTGGATGTGGGCAAACCCCCGCCTCGCACCGAAGGGCGCTCTCCCACCCCGGGCCTCACCGCGGCGTTGCAGCTCTCGGTGCCCAGCTCGGGCGTCAGAGCCCCCATCATTGCCCGGGCCAGCGGCGAGCACGGGAGGGGGGGCACGCAGGGGCGGGCCTGCTCAGAAGGCTCGGGGGTTCCTCCGGGCCTTCTGAGAAGCTCCCTGAGCCTTCCCCGAGGGGAACGGCCTCACCCCCCTCCCCATCCTCACCCCCTTCGAGACCCCTACCAAATCACCACCCCAATTGGGGATGCACCCCTCGAAACCCGAAGGGAAGGGCTTATATCTCCATCTAGGGGGGTAAATCGGCCAGTGGAGCCCATGCCACGCCACGCCGCTGGGGATGGGGATCGGTTAAACGATACTCAGAAGGCACAGAGAGCTTCTCAGGAGGCGCGAAGGCTCCTGAGAGTCCCGCCGCCTTCTGAGAAGGCCTTCGCCTTCTCACTTCCCCCCCCCTCGCTCGCCGCCAATCCGGGGCAACGCCACGGGGGGGATAGGCACACGGGGGGGGGGGGACGCATCGACCCCTCATCGTCCACCGATCGCCGACAGGGGTTCTGACAGCGCCACCCCGCCCAGGAACATGCGGATCTGCTATCGGGGGCCTACCGCCGATCTATCAGCGATGCAACGCCGCTTCCATGTCGATGTTCTTGGCATCGCTTGGCCGTGTGCATTTTTTTCTCGGCGAGGACCATCGAGGAGCATCTTGGCTCATCTTGCGAACAAGAAAAGAACACGCACGACATCGAAACATGCACTAGGAAGGGGCGTCCGAGCGATGGCAAGTGTTTCCCTCCTCGAGCCCGTCCCCTCCTCCTTGTCGATTTCGAGGTGGCCCTTTGGCCTCAGGCGGCCCGCGCTTCATTGGTGAGGCCCAGCCAGTGGGCCTCCCCAGATCTTCGACGACACGCTGTCTCTCGATCTGGGCCCCCCCTGTCGTTGCCCCCCTCCTGCGCGCCGCAGAGGCCAGGCCGAGGGGCGGGGGCCCACCCCCCCGCCGGCGCCCGACCCGCGGCCAGGGCGGCGCGCGGGTGCGCTTCGTCACCCGGGAGCGCTTCCAGAAGCTGCTGCGGGAGGAGGCGCCGGGGCTGGAGGAGCCCGAGGGTCGGGGGCCACGTCGAGGGGGGTACTCACTCGGACGTGTGCGTCATTCGCGGCGCGGACCACCGAAGAACCTCTAGGATCATCCTGCGAGAAGAAGCACGCACCAGGCCGAACAGTGCACGTGGACACACATGAAGAACGCGACTGCTATGCTTTCATTTTTGCTAACAGCATGGTTCATCATGTGGTGTTGATTGCGAAGGCCTTACGGCCGTTGCCGCCGACCCTGAAGATGACGAAAGACAACACGAGGGGGGGGGCAGGAGGAGGAGGAGGAGGAGGAGGAGGAGGCGGAAGGGAGTAGGAGGAGGAAGAGTGAAGGGGGAGGAGGAGGAGGCCTTATGGATGTTGGTTGGGATCTCGTGGTTGACCTCTCGGGGGCGTCTGGAAGGCAACTTGAAGCCTCTTGGGGGCCGTTGTGGAGCCTCTTTTGGGCCTCTTGGGGCTTCCGGAGGCCGTCTTCGGCGCATCTTGGGGGCGTCTTGGCGCCGCTCGGGGGCCTCTTGGGGCCTTTTGGGGGCCTCTTGGGGCTTCCCGGGGGCCTCTTAGGGCGGAAGTCTCGAATTCTCGGTTCCTCGTCCCCCTCTTGGCCGTTTCTTGGGCCCGTCTTGGGGCCCTATTGGGCCGTTTTGGGCGCCTCTTAGGCTGTCCTGGGGCCTTCTTGGGCCGTCTTGGGGCCCTCTTGTAGGCCTCTTGGGGCGCTCTTGGGGGCCTCTTGGGGGCCTCTTGGGCCGTCTTGGAGTGTCGGAAAGCCGAAAAGGCGAGAAGGCCAGAATCATTCAAAAACCTATGTAAAATTGACGATTTTGGCGCCTGGGGCCCTCTTGGGTGTGCTCTTGGGGCTCTCTTGGAGCGTCTTGAGGGCCTCTTGGGCCGTCTTCGGGCCGTCTTGGGCGTCTTGGGGCCATCGTTCGTCGAGTCGAGGCCCTCTTGTACCCTTTTGGGGGTGTCTTCTGTCGCTCTTGGCTCGTCTTGAAGCTTTTCTGAGCTCCGGGACCCCCCGGGGAGGATGCGTATCTGGGTGGCGACCCCCCCCGGGGACCCCCCCCGGCGACCCCCCCCCCCCCCCGGCGGGGAGGGTAGGGAGGGGCTTCGCCACGACTCAACTACGACGTTACTCAATGTCGCTTTGGCTCGCGCGCTCAAGGAGACGGGGAACGACGAAGACGACGAGGGACAACGGAGACGGAGACGACGAGGACACGACGGAGACGACGACGACGACGACGACGGTGATCCACGCAAGACGACGACACCGGGATACGTCTTCCACACGCCGACAGGGTCGGCGGATTTCTGGGTGTTTCGCTTGTGTGTGTGTCTGTGTCTGTTAGTGTTACTTGCTCCTCTTTTCTCTGCGACTCGCCCTCCACGGCTTCTGCAGTGTTTCGGCCCCCAGGTGGCCGGCGCACCGCCCGCGGCAGGCTTCCGCCCGAGGCCCGCGCGCCAGGGCGGGCTGCCATTGGGCGTGCCCTCTCAGGACTACTTCGATTTCGTCTTGGGCCTCGCCTGCCTCCTCGCCAGCCCCCGTGGGCACGACCGGTCGCCGGAGGCGTCGGTCGTTTCTGGTGGGGGGCCCCAGTGGCCCTCGGCCAGGCGCGGCCTCGAGCCCTGCCCGCTCCGTCCGCTGGCTGCTCTTCCGCAGTCGGCGCGAGCAGCTGGCTCTCGCTGGCCCCTGCCTCGCGCGGTGACCCGCGGGGCCCGGGGGTCCCACTTGCAGTGGTCTTTCGGGCCCTGCGTGGTGTGGCGGCTCCTTTGGCCCCGCTCGCTGCTCCCGCCCGCGTAGCGCGCGATCCTCCCTTTTTTCGCGCGTGAGGTTCACTCTCGCTGTTGCCTTTCTCGGGCATCGGCCTCGCTCGCTCGATGCTTTCGAGTCTGCGTCGCATGGCTCCTGGTCGCAGCGCCTGGCGCCCTGTGCCGCGGCGGTTCCTTCTCGCGCGGTTTCGCAGCTGCGCGATGTTGGACTCCTGCTTCTTTGCGCTTTGGTTCGCGCCACCCTGGGCGTTCAATCGAACCGCTGCCTCGAGGCGCCTCGCCCCCCGCGGGGATGACGCTCCCCCGCCTCCCCCGACTGGCGCGCGCGCCTCCAGCGAGGCCGCTGCGGCGCCGCAGGGCGGAGTTCGCGCCGTCGGGGGGGGGGCCGGAGGGCGCGGCCCGCGCAGACGCCTCGGGCCCTGCTCCCTAGCGCCGCCGGCGCTCCGCGGCAGCAGTGGCGTCGGGCGCTCCTCGCGTGTCGCTTCGGCCGCTCCGTCAGGCAGCGGGCGCAGCCTCCTTCGCGCGGCGAGTCTCTCGACGTCGCCGCGCTCCCGCCAGGTGTGGGGGGGTCCTTCTTCCCCCGCCCTCGCGCCGAAGACCGAGTGGTCTTCTCCGACGCTGCGCGCTCATTGCTCGGACACCGCCACCGCGGAGTTGCCCGAGGAGATCTTCGGGCATTCGGCCTCCACCGATCAGCTCAAGTGGCTTCCGTGCTCGTTGGAACCATTTATTTTCGGCTTTGGGCGTGTCGCTCGCTGCGACACAGGCGGGGCTCTAGTGGCGCCCGCCTACTTACGCGGTTCGGGTTCCACTGCCATCTCCATCGCCTCGGCAGACGTCCCTCGCGTCTTCGAGCGTGATTGCATCGTCAGGCGGACAGTGCTGTGCGCTTCTTCCGTGCTGCCGTCGCCTCATCGGTGTTGTCCGTTTTCCCGGAGCCCGCTCGTGCCGTGTCCGTTGTCTCTGCTACTGTTTGCAACCGCCTTGTCGCTGCGCTCCTGCGTGCTGGCCCAGCTGCGTGGCCAATCCACGCATTGCGGCCGCCCGCCGAAACCTTGCCATGTCGCAGGGGCTTTGAGCCTGGGTATTGCTGCTCCGCCCTCGGCGGCCAGGAGATCTCCTTCTCCGGAGCGTGGCGCCGCGGCCCCCGCGCGCTCGGCGGTCGGCCTGCCCTGCCGTCCCGCGCGCGTGGGTCCCCGCGCTCCTTCCGAAGCCGCTCGCACGGGCGCGAGCGTGTTTTTTTTCTCTCTCTCTCCAGAGTGTGCTGTTTTTGAGTAGTTTCTTTTTTTGTCTCGGCTAGACGAGCGTTTAAATGCATCCACGTTTCTAGCTCATTAGGGGCATCCTGGCTTGTGAAGCCCAAAATAGATAGCTTATACGGGTCCACCTATATGAGTCCCCCCATCTGGGGGCGGGGCTGAGCGGGAGGGGGAGCAGAGGGGGGGCGGAAAGGGGGGGCCAGGTTGGCGAAGAGCGAAGGGACCGTTGGAGGAGGGAGGGGGGGAAGAGCGGAGTGCGAGGGCGAAAGGGTGGGAAGGAGGAGGAGGAGGAGGAGGAGGAGGTGGATGATGATGATGATGATGAGGAGGAGGAGGAGGGAAGGTGGGGAGAAAAAGAAGGCAGGGGAGGATGAGGGAGAATGAGGCCCGCCTCCGATTCCCCTGGCCGGGATCGCGCAAACAAGTGGAGGTTCGCCCCAGTGTTCCCCGGAGATCACTCCCGTGTTGCTGTTGTTGTTGTTGTTGTTGTTGAACATTATTTATTCTAAAGAATAATTATTGTTGGGCCCCCTGGTGCGCGCCCCCCCTGCGCCGCCTAGGCCGCAGCTACATTTTCATCATTTTCGTGAGGAAGCCTCAGAAAAGAGGGTGTGTACAGGATCCGGTTGTTTTGTTGTAATCCGCTTTCCCTTGCAAAAAACAATAGAAAATGACATTTCTTGTTCTAATATAATCAAATTTCAAGAATCCCTTGCAAAAAATAAGGTAAAGTGGACATTCGCGCGCGCAAGACGAAATCCTTCCAAAACCTTAGTGTTCGCAGCGATTTTAACATAAAAACATCAAAAAACCAATGGTTTTTCAACAAACAATTGTCAAAATCTCATCCCGCGCGCTCTTGCGGATTCGTAGGAAACCCAACACTTTTTAAACATTTCTGTCAAACGGGCTTTTGCGAGCAACTTTTTCGAACTTCTGCAACAACGGTTGCGCACCTGCCAGGGCCATCATCCCTGTCAAATAATACCATGCGGGACACATTCGTTTTTTCTTCGCGCGCGCACGCCGTCGTCGTCGGCCGCGGGGCCCTGAATAGTAGCCACGGTCGTCCGCATGCCACGAAGTGAAGTGTCCGAACGTCATAGGGCGGGAAGCTGGGTGTGGGTGGTGGCGAAGAGTCGTTTGGAAATTTGGTAGAGCTTGAACCGGCCCCCCCACAAAGTGGGGGTATTGCCCGCCTCCTATGAAAACCCTGGCACTGGTGAGAACGGAGTGTCCCCACGTGCTAGTAATTGTTGTTGTTGTTGTTGTTGTTGTTGTTGTTGGAAAAGGCGCGCGTGGGAGCCCCGGCCGCCCCCCCCCCCAGCAACCGAGCAACCGAGCAACCCTCTCTGGGGGTCTCCTGGGGGCGCCAAGGATTCCCCAATAGGATTTCCTAGGAATTCTATAAACTTCCATAGGCATTCTATAGACCTTCCTAGGAAGTCTATAGGCCCCCATCGGAATTCTATAGGCCTCCATAGGAATTCTACAGGCCCCCATGGGAATTCTATAGGCCACCGTAGGAATTCGATGGGCCTCCACAGGAATTCTATAGGCCTCCATAGGAATTTTATATAAGCCCCCATAGGAATTTGATCGGCCTCCCTAGGCATTCTATAGGCCTCCATAGGAATTCTATATAAGCCCCCATCGGAATTCTATAGCCCCCCATAAGAATTCTATAGGCCTCCATTGGAATTCTATAGGGCTCCATAGGAATTCTATAGGCCTCCATAGGAGTTCGATAGGCCTCCATAGGAATTCTATACAGGTCCCCTTATAGGAGTTCGATTGGCCTCCATACGAATTCCATAGGCCTCCATGGGAGTTATATAGGCCTCCATAGGAATTCTATAGGCATCCATACACGTCCTATAGGCGTCCATCGGAATTCCATAGGCCCCCATAGGAATTCGATGGGCCTCCATGGGAATTCTATCTAGGCCTTCATCGGAATTCTATAGGCCTCCATA